CACAAGCTTAATCTCTCTCTTAATAAAAATAGTGTACATGTATGGCTGAATAAAAACAAACAGGTGAGATGTTAGAATGCTTTTATTTTTATTTTAGTAAACACTCAAAACTTACAATAGACAGCTGCTGGGGTTTGGAAGAGAAATGAACAAATATTTAAAATATAATCAGAATTCTTGGAGCAACCTCTCCGTGTATTAACATGCTGAATTTGCTCCTGGTGAAAATGTTAACTCCCGAATTTAAATATTTATAATGTTCTTATTTAATTCAGAGTCAGCTGTTTAAATCAGAACAGGTGAAATTCAAAACTGACAGCTCTCCAAGTAAGACTTCAATATTAAATAAAATGGTCCAGTTATGAAGCTTAAATTGAATCTTAGCCAGACAGATTTGCTCAGGAACTAATAAAACACTGAAAAAACCAAACATTAACATTTAGAAGTTACCTAAGTGACTTATATGTCATGTTTAACCTGAGTAGCGAAAGACCGGGGGTGTTGAAAACGATGTGCCGGGAGTCCGCTGTTCTCGCCGGCCCTGGTGAACATTGACCTCCCGGTCAGCTATCGAGCTGGTGGGTAACAGACGTCTCTGAGCACTTTTGCAAATATGTGATGTCTTGATAAGAGCAGATATTTGAAGCTTACACAGCTACATTCTCGCCTGAAAATATCTTAAAAGTTTATTTTGTGACCCAGAAAGAGGAATATTTCAAACTTTTTAGCCGCTTTCCTCCACCATTGTTTGAGTTTTGAATGAAATGCATTCTGGGATACTTGGCTGCACCAAGTTGACACAAGTCACCATCGATGCGTGCTCAATAAAACGGGAGGAGCGAGAACACATCCTATTTTAGCATACTTGGCTTGATGCGTACTATGAATTGGAACAGTACTTGGTCTGCGGCTGATGACATGTCACAAGTCCAGTTCTCATCTAGAACTGGTTTTCAATTACCAAGTTGTTAGGCTGCATGACCCAAGGAAGTTTCTGACCTTAGTGCACAGACATGGTGCACAACATTTAGATAGCTGGGACACTGAAACTAAGACACATGTAGAAGTACAGATGCTAAAGGATTCGTTAGTAACAACAGTGCAGGTTGATAAATGAATATTCAGCTCAGACAATCTGAATGGAAACATGTATCTTCAACTGATACATCAAAGCGAAAC